GTAATAGTGATAATAATGATAATAATAATAATATTCGAGAAGATAGAACTGCCTTGTGGAGGGACTTTCCGCCGGTCGCGCAGGAAAGCCACAGAAGCACCTCAGAAGTTGCAAAGCGAACTCTCAAACAATGAACTGGCCGAGACTATGCAACACACGCAACGCTGCACCGGCGGTTAGAAGCTGACTGGGTTATGTGTCGATAATTACGCTCTTGCCAAAGTATATTCCGAGAGGAGTCTAACTTATCTCGGGCAATTCTCTCTCGAGTTGCTCTTGATGTCACTCTAACCACCCTTGCTTCACGGGAAATGCACTCTGTCGCTATTTTTAACGAAGACTTTGTGGCTGCTTCGTTAGGGCGGAAAAGGCTGGTGGATATTTCTCACTTACTGGTCCGTCGTTGAAAGGAATAGCGGGTTTTGCAGAATGTGTTAAGGATGATTGAAAAAAAGGATTTGTATTTGTATAATTCATATTTGCCTTGAAAAATTGGTAGATATTGATAGGTAGTCTAGTCCTGGACGAGCTTACAAAATGGCTTAATTGGTGTTTCTTCATATCATGGAGGGAAGGTATTTCACCTCACACATGGCTATACAGCACACACACACACATACACAACACACACACACACACACACACACACACACACACACACACACACACACACACACACACACACACACACACACACACACACACACACACACACATACACACACGCACGGACGGGTATTTGCGTACACATATAGCAAAATCACACAGAAGACAAAGCAAAGACAACAAACACCACCACCAACGACGGAATTACAAGCTAATTACACTTCTTTGAAAAACTGAACACACCACCACCACCAACCCCACCACAACCCCACCACCACCAACCCCACCACCACCACCACACCTCCTCCCCCACCACCACCACCACCAAACAAAAACAAACCAACCAACAAGCAATAAAAGACACACGCAGGTCGCGCCGGCATCAATTCGTAACGATTCGTTCCTTCAGCGAAACTTAGCTTGGATTTAAGACGTTATTGGCCCCGGCGACGCGCAAATCCACGGACGCCGAAGGAACGCTGAGCTCGGGGGCAAACACCGCCGAGAGCTGCACGGCACACACCTCCTCCTCCTTTTCGTCGTCTTCTTCTTCGTCTTCCTTTTTTATGTTATTCTTTTATTTTGTCTTCTTCTTCTTTTTCTGTCTTCTTTTCTTTCATCTTCGGTTTCTTTTTTTGTCTTCTTGTCTTTCATCTTCGTTTTCTTTTTTTTCTTCTTCTTTTTTTGCCTTCTACTTCGCTTTCTTTTATTTCTCCTTGTGTTATTGCATATAATTCTATTTATTTTCTTCCTTTCCTTCTTCTTCTCCCCCTTCTATTTCTTCTTTTGTCTCTTTTTTTTTTCTTTTTCTTTTTCGCTTTCTTTTATTTCTTCTTGTATTATTACTTATAATTTTACTTCTTTTCTTCCTTTCCTCCTTCTTCTTTTTGTTTTCTCTTTCTTCTTCACCTTCTCTTATTTCTTCTTGTGTTATTAATCATAATTCTATTTCTTTTCTTTCCTTCCTCCTTCTTCTCCCCACTCTTCTATTTCGTCTTTCGTTTCTTCTTCTTTTACGTTTTCTTTTTCTTCTTCAAGTTTATTTTCGTTTCTTCGTTGCTACTTTCTTTTTTAGAATATATTTTGTTACCTCTTTACTATTTTCCTCCACAAAGAGAGATAGAGATAGATATATAGACAGATAGATTGAGATAGATAGAGATAGATAGAGAGAGAGAGAGAGATAGAGATAGAGAGAGAGATATAGAGATAGATAGAATAGATAGATAGATAGATAGATAGATAGATAGATAGATAGATAGATAGATAGAGAGAGAGAGAGAGAGAGAGAGAGAGAGAGAGAGAGAAAGTATTACCAAAAGAGGGACAAAGAACAGATATAAAACAAGGAGAAAAAAGTGGTATATGCAAGCCTGAGAAAAGGCTGAACTATGCAGAAAATACATCTCTAACTCATGGTTCATTTGCGTCTCAATTTCCTTTCCGCTGCAGAGATAGATATAGGTAGATAAATAGAGAGCAAAATGAATAGATAGATAGATAGAGATGAATGAATTGGGAAAATAGAGATAGAGGAATGCATGACTGAACGAGGGAGAGAGAATAAAACTAAAACAAGGAGAAAGAGACACACGAAAGCCTGAGGACAGACTGAACTATGCAGAAAATACGGCTCTAACTTGTGGGTCCTTTGCCTGTCTTAATTTCCTTTCCGCTGCAGTCTCACTCAGTGCATGAACACAACAAGCAATTATGTTAAGTCAGGCATTTGTAACTGCTCTGCGTATGAACATATTAGGAGAGGAGTGTTGCTGCTGAAATTATTACGTGGTCGTATTCAAGATTTCAATTTGTATTTTAAAAGTGTTCCTTTTTCTGTTGATCCTGAGCAAGCTGTGATGCAACTGTGAATTGCGAAATCATAGCTGTGGACTTTACACGATTGGGTGGCAGTCGATTTGCCTTGTGAGCGGGGTGTGTGTTTGCAATTATTTTTCATGAGTGGGATGCTTTTTTGTATAATCTTATCATTAATTTTCAGTTTAATGTTACGAAGCTCTTATTTCAAGGTAGCTAGCACAGTGTTCTGATCACAGTGCAGTGTTTCACATTCATCAACAGTTACCATTCCAGGTTTTAGGACCTTATAAATTCTAATGATTAGTAAAGAGTATCCTGTCACTTGGCGTTGAAAGATTGATAAACATATTTTATGTGAAAATCAACCATTAAATAAATCTTTACCTTTTAATCTACAGCCTAAAAATCAATCGACTAGAGCTTTTCCGACGTTTACGGCCTAGGCGGCACCTCTCGCGCGACAGGAATTGAAAAGGCGGCAAACATTTCTCCTACCTCGGTTATTTTAATGCAAATTCGTACTTATTTTGGATATCTACAACAAACACAATCCACCATAAGATATAAAAATCAATTTAGTATATCATATTTCAAAATACGGCGTACCAAAAAAAGAAAGAAAGAAAGAAAGAAAGAAAGAAAAAAAAAAAAAATCACCAACGCATTAAAACAGCTAACCGTCAACCGCGGCCATTTCCATTACGTCACAGGAGTGGGCGGAGCTTAGCGGCGTGTCTTGCCTCCGATTACGAGACAGGAAATGATGGCATAGGAGATAACTCATGTCAGGACTTCCTAATATACCTTAGTGTCTCAATAATCCTGTCAGATCTAATAGGTATATTTCCTCCCTAAACATGCTCATTCAAGATGAGGGAAGTTGCAAAATCCAAACTTCAGTTAATCTCAATCGGAAATATTCATAGATATTCTCAATTCTGCTCAACATTCCCACACACCTCATAAACATATACTCGTACATATCAACTCTCACATACATCCACCTCACACACATCCAGCTCATATACAAACACCTCATACACATCCAACTCATATGCATCCACCTCATACACATCCAACTCATATGCATCCACCTCACACATATCACTCATATACATCTAACTCATACATATCCACCTCACACACATCCAACTCATACATCCATCTCATACACATCCACCTCATGCACATCCACCTTATACACATCCACATAACAAACATCCACCTCATACACATCTACCTCACACATATCCACCTCATACACTTCCATCTCACACACATCCACCTCAGACGTCATCCAACACACACTCATCCACCACATATCACTTATACACATCCACCTCATCACACCACCACATATAACTTACCATCTCACACCATCCCCTCACACCCACCCCTCACACCCATCCCCCTCACATCCCCCTCACACCCCCCCTCACACCCATCCCCCTCACACCCTCATCCCCTCACCCCATCCCCCCACACCCATCCCCCTCACACCCTCCCCCTCACACCCATCCCCTCATACTCATCCCCCTCTCACACCCCTCCCCCTCACACGCATCCCCCTCACATCGCCATAGCCACCTCACACACATCCCCCTCACACCCTCCCACCACATCCATCCTCCTCACACCCATCCCCTCATACTCATCCCCCTCTCACAGACCCCTCACCCCTCCTCACACCCATCCCCTCACACCCATCCACCCTCACAGTCACACCATCCCCTCACACAAATCCCTCACACCCATCCCCCACACCCCTCTCAACAGCCCTCCCCTCACACACCTTCATCACCTCACACCCATCCCTCACATCACACACATCCCCCTCACACATCTCCACTCACACCATCCCCTCACACCCCTCCCGCCTCACATCCATCCCCCTCACACCCATCCCCCTCACATCCATCCATTCACTCACGCCATCCACCTCACACCAATCCCCCTCACACCCTCCCCGCTCACACCCACCCCCTCACACCATCCCCTCTACATCCATCACCTCTACGACGGCCTCACCTCAACACATTCCCCTCACACCCCTCCCCCTCACGATCCCCTCCCCTCACACGGCCATTCCCCCTGCACAGTCGCCGCGCCATACCCTCCATCCCCTCGGGCCACTCTTCCCCCTGCCCCTCACCAAGGCCTAGAGATACCCATTCCCCCTTCACAACCTTCCCCTCCACCCATCGACCCCTCAAACCCATCCCCGTCATACTCATCCGCTCACACACCCTCCCAGCTGCACAGAGCCGCCATCCCCGCACATTCTAACATCACCCCTTACACAATCCCATCTCACCCATCCTCCTCACAGCCCATCCACCCTCATACTCATCCCCCTCACACACCCTCCTCCTCACACCCCTCCCCCTCACCCCATCCCCCGTCACAACCCATGACCCACTCACACACATCTCCCCCTCACACCCATCCCCCTACACAGCCATCGCTCCTCACAAAACCCATCCCCTCATTACTCATCCCCTCAACACCCCTTTCCCCCACTCACACACCATCCCCCTCACACATCTTGGCCATCCACCTCACACATCACCTCCATGCACATCCCCCTCACACATCCCCCTCACACACCTTACGCTCAACACCCCATCCCCCATCACACTATCTCACCTCACACCATCCCTCACACACATGCCCCTCTACACACATACGGTCCCCTCACACCAGCATCCTACACCCCTCCCCTCACATCATCCCCCTACATCCACTTGCCCTCACACGCCTGCCACCTCACACCAATCCCCTCCAACCCCGACCGCCTCACAATGGCCCACCCCCTCACACCCAATGGCCCCTCTCACATCCGCATCCCCCTCACGAACGTGCCTCTCACGGGGTCACACCCCTCCCCCCGTCACAGGGCGCCCGCCCCTCAACCCATACCCCCTCACATACCTCCACCTCACACCCTATCCCCTCACACCCTCCCCCTCACACCCCTCCCCCTCACACCCATCCCCCTCACTACCCATTACCCCTCATACTCATCCCGCTCACACATACGCGGGGCCCCGTCACACCCATCCCCCGCACACCTCATGCTCCGCGCCACAATGCCCTCAACCCATCCTCCTCACACCCATCCCCCTCTATACTCATCCCCTCACACACCTCCGCCCTCACACCGCATTCCCCTCACATACTCCCACTCCCCACACCATCTCCACCCATCCCCTCATACTCATGCCCCTCACATTCACACCCATGCCTCCCTCAAACCCTCCCCCTCACTCATCCCGCACACGTGCCCCATCCTCAACACCCCATCCTCCTCACACGATGGAACCCATGCCTCATACTCTCGCCCTACACCCTCCCCTCACATCCATCCTCACATACCCTGCACCGTCACACCATCCCCCTCACACCATCCCCGCACACGCCATCCCTCAGCACCGATCCCCTCGACAACCGACATGATCCATTCATTCCTGTCACATCACCAATCCCACCTCCTACCATCCCCTCACACACCCTCCCTCACCACCCTCCCTCAACCGGCCCATCCCATCAAACCCATCCCCTCATACTCCATCCCCTCCCCCGCACACCCCATCAAACACCCCCTCACACCCCACCCTCACAGTTCTTACCCCATCCGCCACAACTCACACCATCCCCTCACACCCACCCTCCACCGCCATCCTCACACACCATCCCCTCACATACCGACGGGAACCCATGCCTCCTCACACCCATCCCCCTCACACACATCTCTCACACCCATCCCCCTCACATTACCCTCACACCCATCCCCTTTCACACACATCCACCTCACACACATCCCCTCACACACACACCCCTCACCCCTCCCCCTACATCACCCTACACGCTCACCTCACACCTCCTCCCCCTCACACCCACCCCCCTCACAACCCATCCCCTGCACACCCTCCCCCTCAGCCCTCCTCACCCCACCCTCACCCCCTCACACCCTCCCCTCACACCGCACCTTCCCCTCACACCCATCCCCCCTCACAAACCCTCCACCCTCACACGCCCATGCCCCTCACAGCCCACCCCCTCACAACCCCACCCCCCTCACACCCACCTCACACCCATCCCTCAACCTCCCGATCCTCCACTCATACTCCTCCACTCTCCCTCACACACATCCCCCTCACACCTCTCCCTCACACACACCCTCCACACTCATCTCCCCCTCACACCCATCCGCCTCACACCACCCCATCACTTGCCGCCTCCCCCTCACACCAATCACACCTCATACCATCCCCCTCACAACCCTCCCCCTCAACAACCGCCTCCCCTCATGGACACATCCCGCCTGCACACCCCTTCCCCTCACACCCCATCCCCGCACACCCATCCCCTCACACCATGGCCCGCACACCCATCCCCTACACCATCCGCACACCCATCCGCCCGCACACCCATTCCCCTCAACCCATCCATCCTCACCACCACCCCCGGCACACCATCTTCACACCATCCCCCACACGGACACCCCTCACGACTGCCATGGTCCCAGCTCAACATGCCCATTCCGGCCTCACACCCTCCCCCTCACACCCCTCCCCTCACATTCCTCCCCCGCACACCCATCCCCCTCACACTCCTCCCCCTCACACTCCTCCCCTCACACCCCTCCGCACACCCTCCCCCTCACACCCTCCCCTCACATGCCCCCCCTCATACCCCTCCCCGCCTCCCTCACACCCCTCCCCCAACCCCTCCCCCTCACACCCTCCCCCTCACACCCTCCCCCGCCTCTCCCCTCACACCCCTCCCCCTCCCCCCCACACCTCCCCTCACACCCCTCCCCCTCCACCCCTCCCCTCACGAGGGCCTCCCCGCACACACCCCTCCCCCTCAATCACCTCCCCCTCACACCCTCCCCCGGCACCCCTCCCCCTCACACCTCCTGGACACCTCCTCACATCCTCTCCCGTGCACACACTCCCCCCGCATCTTACCACCCTCCCCTCACACCTATTCGCGATGCGGGCCCTCCCCTCTCACACGCCTCCCCCGGGCACACCTCGCCCTCACCCTCCCCTCACATACCCTCCCGCCCTCACACCTCCCGGCCTCACAGCCCTCCAGGCACAGGTCCTCCCCTCAACACCCCTCCCCCTCACACCCATCCCCCTCACACGCCTCCACCCTCACCCCCTCCCCCACCGCTCCCTACACGCGGCCCTACCCTCACACCCCTCCCCCTCACACAGGTCCCCTCCCTCACCCCCTCTCACACCCTTCCTCACAGGAGCCCCTCCCCTCACACCCCTCCCCTCACACCCCTGCCGCCTCAACCCCCTCCCCTCACATACCCATCCCCCTCAACACGCCTCCACCTCAACACCCCTCCTCAACCCTCCCCCTCACTACAACATTCCCTCCATCCTCCCCTCACAGCCTCCCCCTCAAACTACAGGCGCACCCTCCCCCTCACACCATGCCCCTCACAGCCCCTCTCCTCACGACCCCTCCCCTCCACCCTCCCTCACAGAGCCCCTCCCTCACCCTCCCCCACACCGCTCCCCCTCACACCCTCCCGCCTCACAACCCATCCCCCACAGTGACGCTCATCCCTCACACACTCCCCCTCACACACCCTCCCTCACGCGGGTATGTATTGGTTGGGTGATACCTCCCCCTCAACCCCTGCCCCTCACACCTCCCCCTCAACACCCCTCCCTCACACCCATCCCTCCACACCCCTCCTCCTTCACCATCCGCCTCACACCCCCCCTCGACACCCGTCCCCTACACCCCCTCCCGCCTACCACCGGTATCGCTCCTTTCAGCTACGTCCACCACCTCTCAAGACTATCTAGTCCACTGGTCGTTAAGTGGAGCTCCGGAGGACGCGGTGTGTAAGTGGGTTTACGCGGCCCTCACAGTATCCTCCCCCTCACACACACTCGACATACAAATTATCCCTACAGCGCCGGGTATCCATCCGCCATCAGAGCACGTCCAGCGCCCGGAGTGAAAAGTCAATTTTGCCGAGACTCACGAACACATTAATTGCCAAACATACAAACGTAAATTGAAATACTTGATATTTCAAAGTCGTCGACAATGGCGGAATCGCAGACGGTAAGTAATTCGTCTGGATTTGGGGAATTGGAAAGAAATTTGAAAGAAGTTTGCTGCTCGTGCTGCTGTTGTGTGTGTGTGTGTTTGTTTGTGTGTGTATATGCTTGTGTTGTGTGCGTTGTTGTGTGATGTGTGTGTTGTGTGTGTGGGGGGCGCGTATGTTTGTGTGTGTGTGTTGTTTGTCTGTGTATGTGATTTGCGAGTGTGTGTGTGTATTTGTGTGCGTGTAGTGATTGCGAGTGTGTGTGTGTTTGTGCTTTTCTGTGTGTTTGTTTGTAGCGTGTGTCTGAGTGTGTGTGTAGTCGTCTGTTTGTTCGTATATATTCATGTCTAGACCGCGGTGCAGAAATCCATTTACAAAAAATGAAATATTACGTGTTATTGGCCGGTTGAACTCATGACACGCAATAAGCAGAAGCTTATTAGACACACACCCACTCTCTCTATCTACCTATCTGTCTATCTGTCTATCTAACTATCTATTCATGTATTATTTATCTGTTTATCTATCTATCTATTTACATATGATTTATCTAAATATCTACCTATCTGTCTATCTATCTGCTTATCATCTCTCCATTTACCTATGTCTCTCTCTCTCTCCTCTCTCTCTCTCTCTTCTCTCTCTCTCTCTCTCTGTCTCTCTCTCTCTCTCTCTCTCTCTCTCTCTCTCTCTCTCTCTCTCTCTCTTCTCTCTCTCTCTCTCTCTCTCTTCTCTCTCTCTCTCTCTCTCTCTCTCCCTCTCTCTCCCTCCTCCTTCCTCTCTCTCTCTCTCTCTTTCCCTCTCCTCTCCTCCCCTCTCTCTCTCTCTCTCTCTCTCTCGTCTCTCTCTCTCTCTCTCTCTCTCTCTCTCTCGCTCTCTCTCCTTCGCTCTCTCTCTCTCTCTCTCTCTCTCTCTCTCTCTCTCTCTCTCTCTCTCTCTCTCTCTCTCTCTCTCTCTCTTCTCTCTCTCTCTCTCTCTCTCTCTCTCTCTCCCTCCCTCTCCTCCCCCCCTCCCTCCTCCTCTCTCTCCTCTCTCTCCTCTCACTCTCTCTTCTCTCTCTCTCTCTCTCTCTCTCTCTCTCTGTATCTATCTATTCATATATTATTCATCTGTTTATCTATCTATCTATTTACATATGATTATCTAAAATATCTACCTATCTGTCTATCTATCTGCTTATCATCTCTCCATTTACCTATCTCTCTCTCTCTCTCTCTCTCCTCTCTCTTCTTTCTCTCTCTCTCTCTCTCTCTCTCTCTCTCTCTCTCTCTCTCTCTCTCTCTTCCTCTCTCTCCCTCCCTCTCCGCCTCTCTCTCTCTCTCTCTCTCCGCTCTCCCTCTTCTCCCTCCCTCCCTCTCCTCCTCTCTCTCTTTTCTCTTCTCTTCTCTCTCTCTCTCTCTCTCTCCTTCGCGCTCTCCCTCTCTCTCTCTCATCCCTCCCTCCTCCTCTCTCTCTCTCTCTCTCTCTCCTCCCTCTCTCTCCCCTCCTCTCCCTCTCGTCTCTCTCTCTCTCTCTCCTCTCTCTCTCTCCTCGTCTCTCTCTCTCTCTCTCTCTCTCTCTCTCTCTCTCTCTCTCTCCTCTCTCTCTCGCTCTCTAGCCTAGTAGTTACGCTGTCATAAGGGCCTTGGACATGACACTGCTAATTGCTCTCGGACC